GTGGGGAGCTTCAGTTGTTGATAGACACAGAGGACCAGCTTTCACACGAATGCCTGGCCTGTTGCTGAGAGGTGAATTTAACCCCGTCAGCGAGAGGGCTGCATTGCACTTCCCAAAAGGTTCCTCTTCCGTGAAGGCTAACTAGTTTCACAGGAATGACTTAAAAATAGTTTCAGATACTAAGCCTGCCCTTGAGTTGCACTACCAGTTTTGGGGGTTTTACAGTAATGTTTTCCCATTTTAAATAAGCAATTCTTTGGCTACTGCTCTATTAGAGATTAACCATGTCCAGAGCTGCTCTCTGACTGCGAGGCCAGCTGTCCTGGAAAATCCTTCAGGCTACTAAACCCTCTTAGCATCCATAACATGCTGGCTGCATCCAAACTGCCCACTGGGAACAGTTCCTAGCCCGTGCTGATTCCCGAAACATGCCCTCGAAAGGTTTGAGAGGGTGTTAAGCGGCTTGGCCAAAAGTGTGCCCAGGCCCACTCTGACTGTTTAAGATACCTTCTGGTATCTGTGCTCAGGCCCTGGCACTATTTAGTTTCCAAGCATCAACATAGCCTTTCTACTCTCTTCCCCATCGCCTGCTTCTTTACAAGCAAAGGGAAAGGAAAATTAATCGGCCATGCAAAGGGAAGGTGCAACTCACTGTATACACACAGTGCACGGAGAGAAAATAAGCTCAGGGTGCGGGGAAAGCACAAAGGAACATGTATTTTTTCAATTAAAATAAGATTAGGTCAAGGCAGACAGAAGAATACTATTTATTCTAGAGGCGTATTTGTAAGACCCTACTGAAGGAAGGTCTGGAGATGCAGCAGTTCAGCAGTGGTCGTTGAGAGACACCACAGCTGAAGCAGGCAGGAAGGTTGCGCACCATTCCCACTTCACACCAGGCCACATTTCCTGGATTGTGCTTGGCTGGGTCACACAAAATGTGACCTCTTCTGCTCTGTTTCACTGATAAAAGGACCAGGTAGCGAGGTTTGAAGTTTGTTAGCCATGACTGACACTTGCATTATGGAAAGTCCCAGGCTGCTGTTGTCATTAGACAAAGAGGTAAAATGAAAGGCCAGTCTTACTTCACCCGTTACAATGCCAACTTAGTGACTATTTCCCAGTAATCCCACAGGCTCACCGCTGACTTCGGAACATATGGTAAAAAAGTAAAGAAGTAAAGTAAATGTCAGCCTAACTGATTTAAATAACAGCAATGCCTCAGGCTGACAGGGAGCAGCACAAAAAACTGCGGACACCTCACCTGGCCATTGAAGATAGCCTCATCCACTTTATTATTTTTCATATATGGAATCCTTACGCAGGTGCCTCTTCTAAATCTTGTTTTCAAAATCCCTAGACATTTTCTTCTCTTGAAAAGAATGAAGTTAAATAATTATTCTGTATCTACAGGTTGAGCTAGTTTTGATGTATTTTTGAACATCCTGTCAACATTAATTTACTCAAAACTTCACCTGCCTTTTTAGTTCAGAGAAAAGAGTCAGGTTAAGCTGAAAATGTAGCACAGCTACCCTGAGTAGCGGAGGAAGAGGGAACAAAGAAGTGGATAAATCCCTGCACGGCCATGGTCTCACATTAACATAACTAAAATTACATGCTGCCAAATTCAACTTGCTTTATGTCTGCAACTTCCTAAAATCCTATTTCAACAGGGGTAAAATCAAAGTGAATTTCATTTGTCTCATTGCAACTAGCTAAGTACCTTACCTTACTCAGACGTGCACAGATCTGGTTGGTAAATAAGGTAAGGAAGTTGTGTATAAATAGAGAAGTCACTGCTGCTATTAAACTATTGAAAAACTGCTGGAGAAAATATTTTTCCCAGCAGTTATGTAATGTCTAAGTATTACTTATTTGTTTATTTAAATATTTTTCAGCCACATTCAAGGAAGCGTAGGTGACTGGGAAATTACTTTGGGCGCGTTCCCTCATGTGTCGGGCCGGGCAGCACAGGCAGCTCCAGAACCCCTTGCAAAGGATACTGGAGAAAATCCAATATTCTATTGATTATGCATAGCATGAATGCAGGTAGGTTAGGCAAGAGCTAAAAAACAGCTTTCCTGGATGTGAATGCTGATTATAATCAAAAGTCTAATTCTCTGAAATTACTCAGAATTGCTCGAAATGATAATGGTATCGCATTTTAGTTTCTTGCCCGTGATGTGTGGAAAGGCTAACCAGCTCTCCTCCTGAGAAGATGGAAATCCATCTTCTATTATATTCAGGCATCTTTTTATTTATCTTAAGGAAAAAGATGTAAAAAAAAGTATTCTCCCATGCTCATTTCTTGCCCCCTATTTTCAATCCCACTGAGAATATACCTCACTCACTCAGGTTTCTATCCGTAGTGAAAACGTCTAAGTGAGCTCTAAGTACAGTCTCATTCCTGTTAAATTCACTGCATAGTCCACAGATAAGAGCTCTTCTTTTCTGTGTTTGCTCACAGGCACACTGCAGAGCTTTTAGAAGTGGAAGAATTTTTTCAGACCTTCCCAACTGAAAGTTCTCCAGAGCGCACAGTAACTGATCGGTAGATACAACTTTCTAGGAAAAGCAAGCTCAGAATAACAAGTTGGGTCTCTGCTGTCTCTATACTGAGAGGACTTGAAAAGAATTTCAGAAAAGTTGGGACAAAGGTCTCATATTAAAAAAATATTTCCTACTTGAATTATTAAGAATATTTTATATCTTTAAACCCGAAAAACTCTGCTAAATTCAAGATAATTTGAGGCATATCTACACTCCTTTATTTTAAAAACGTTAATCAACGATGAAAATAAATTCAATTAGTCAATTCATGTTCACTTCCATTCATGTAGGATTTTCTTGCATTAGCACAGTGCGCTAGCATTGGTATATTACTGTCTGAGAGAAATGCTTAAGCTCAGTCAAAATTATTTGCCTCCATATTAAGTTCTGTAACTCATTCAACCAAACTTAATTTAAAAAATTGGTGTCCTGCTATATCTTTTTTTATTCATCCTGCACAACCTCATCAAGCATATGCCAAACCAACAGTATGAATTAAAAAAAAAAAAAAAAAAAGAGCAATCAGTAGCGTGTCAGTCTATTCTAGGACTGCAAGACTGCTCTGGTATGAAATGGCCATTTTTAGAAAGCCTGTGTACAGCTGGGAGCGTGCCGAGTGATTGGCCTAAGATGGCTGTCATGCTTGCAAAAAAGTCTTTATTACAATTGTACTCTTTGACACAAATCTTACTACTTTTGTGGGGGGAGAGGGTCAAGGAAAATGAAAAGCTTGCACTGAGAAAAGTTTGGCAGCACATGCCAGCGTGGTGCTGTGGCTTGAGTAGAGCGTGGGCCTTCCAGGCACTAGAAATTGTTCAGTCATACCCTACGGCAAGCAACAAACCCTGAGTTATTTCACAGACACCGAACCTGGTGAAATAAGCATGTGTTTCAAGGACAAAGAATTATAATTAGAGGGAGAGGAACACCTAGAAAGTAGGCATTCAAAACCCAGAATTTTCAAAACTCAGAATTTAGCCTTATGCCACAGACCTCCCGAAGGGAGCGATTCGGAGAGCGGGCCAGCCGCCTGCTTCTCTCCCTCACATGCTGCTCAGCCAAGGTCTGCATCAATGCCGCACAGTCCGTTCCTGCACGTAGCCGAATAAACACAGCTATCTCTTTTCAGGTAAACAAGAACAAGGCTGGAGAGTTCTATATGAATATTTGTCACTTAATGGTCCCTTTTACCTTGAAGATGTATGTCTAGAAAGGAAGAAAAACGGATCATTCTTCCCCTTGTATCTTCAAAAAAGCACTTCAAAAGTGCAATTTTATCAGGCTTTTTAAAATCCCAGAGAAATTCTCCAAACGCCAAGAAAGACGGAGAATTAAATAAATATATTTTGCAAGTAAGGAAACAATTATTGTGCTTTATAACACATGCACATCTTAAAATAAAAAAGAAAATACTGTGCTTTTTTAAAAAATTTCTTTAAAAAATTCTGTTAACGAGAAACACATCATTAGCAGTTTGCAGTCACATCAAGTCTGTATCAGAGAAAAATAAAGATTTGTTTGTGTAACATTATTAAGCAAGATAGCTACTATAGCCAACTTAAGAAAGAAAGAAACTATTTTTTATGACAAGTTGATGGAAATTAGCATTATGAATGACAATTTAAGGAGGATTATATGATGTATTGCAGGTTTCGACCAACTAAAAATAGAAAAGCTATACAAGCCATAAAAATTGCACAACGTACAACTTTCAGTTCCAGGAATATTATGTTTGCAATCCTTGACTACAAAAGGAGCTGCTTTCTGACTGTTAAGATAGATCTTCCGGGGCCATAATGAATGTAGACAATCCCGAGCTTTCCAAGTGAGTCAGACATTTAAAAATATGATATTATATTGGGCTTAAAGTTGTGAGATTTCTATAAAATCAGTTTTTCACTGCCTTCCAGTTTTTGAGCTGTTAGGGTTCACACTTTTAAGTATGTTCCAGCACCATGAGGCATTTTTAAACTGGAAATAAAGATTATCATATAACAAACGTGATATTAGTAGCAGGACGTTAAAAAGACGAGTAAAATCCCAAACAATATTGTGAAGCTCCCAATATGGTCATTATAGTCAGTGATGCCTACTGAAGAGTTCTTCCGTATGGTAACTCCTTAACTCACTGTGCTTACTATCAGCCCATGCTCAAATAGGGAGGTTTCAGAGAAAATAATACACATTCGGGATGTCCTTGGTAATCGTCAACAATCCCTGAGGGCTTTGATGACTTGTGCCATTCAGATCAGCCTGTGAAAGGCAAGCGATCACACGAGGAAGTGATTTCGTTCACCTCACAGAGCTGGCATCTGCAGGGACCTCAAACATTGCTTTCCTGCCTTGCTGTTGCAACAGCCCTTCCTAAATTAAAGGTTGTCGCTTTAGAAGAGTAGCTCCAGGGGGAAGCTCCTGCTCGGACCTGGACAGTATGTGATGTGGGGTAATACCTGTGTCGAGGGACGCTGCCGGAGCACGGACTTCGCTAGAATCTAGGTCTGCACCCGGGAGGAGAGAGTCGAGGATGGAGGTGTCCCTGTGGCATTGCTTTGCTGCTCCCACCTGAGGCTGACTGGGGTCCCTGCTGCTCCCTAAAGAAAAGATAAGGCTCAGGAGCTGCATGCGATGACAAAACGGAGACGCAGCATGTTCTGCTCACTCTGCCTGGCAGCTAGCAGGCCAATTAGGAAACACGGACTTTCAGACATAATAAGGCTTGAAAATTCCCATTGCCTTTATCAATATGTCTCCAAAGCCATGAAAGAGCACAGCAATCTGAAGAATCTAGAATACGCCAGCTGATGCATTTGAAGCCACAAGTCACAGCTTACTGCTTTAATTTAGCAATCAGCTTAGCTGTTAAACCTCTGCATCCAAAAAAGGCAGCTCTAATGGGAGAAGGAAACAAAAATGGGTAAGTAACCTACTGGGTTCCACATTGAGTAGACTAGTTCTGCACAATATATACAATCAGACCAAATTAAATGAAATCAAATGACAACAGAGAAGTAACGTGTGCTGCTAGGCCCATCTAGGCGTCAGTTTGCGCATCATTGCCACACTTCTAGTTGCTCAGTGAGACTGCATGAATTTCCTGGCTGGCCAGTCTGGTTGATCAGCAGCACAGCAATAGATGCAGACCAGTTTCTTGCACGGTCTGCAAGGCAAGCAAAGGAAGGCTGGGGAAACAGTGGCAACTGCAAACACTATGAAGGTGTACCGGATATGGAGGGAATCGGGAGCATTGCTATGGGGATAAGGGAAATGGAGAAGGCTAGGAATAGCACAAGGGTGTGTGAGGAATGAATTCATAATAGTGGAGAGAAGCAAGGTCTCAACGGATGCTGGCTCATTCGTGGCTTTGATTCCTTCACATAAATGTACAGAATTTGAATCCACCTTGTGGGTTCCCTGAATTCTGCCCCAGCCTTCTCAATCGTGCAGCGCGGCTATGGTATAACCAGCCTTATAGGTCTGGTAAGTCATTTCAGAGACAACTAGCGTTGAAAGACTAGAGCCAATGGGTTTGAGCAATGATATATCTAGGTGGGCTCAGTGGCACAATTTGTGGAGCTAGAGAGCTTCTGAGCTACGGAAGAAGGAGAGGTCAGTGAGATATTGGACATTCTGCCTTTGGTATAAGATTTGGTCAAGACAACATCATGTTCTGGAAGGTTTGGTCTTTTTAATGAAAAAGCTAACGTTTTTGTTCACCTCTGCAGACTGACTGTTCGTTAATTCCTTTAAATAATTTTCCTAAAAACAATGTAGTCATATTAGGGACACTGACATTTAAGGAATAAAACAGGGCTGCTACAGTGTCCGAGTATGTAGCAATTACAACAGAATACGACACATTTCCACATTATTTCTTAATGAATTTTTGGTAAATTCTTGCCAAACATCAAACATATCAGAAACTGATAGAAGACCAACTAGGCATCTGCGGAAGATGTTCTTGTCCCTGATAAGAAATGAAAGAATATGTTTAACTGGATTATGAGAGATACAAGGATAGGCAAACTAAAGAAATCTTAACCAATTGCAATCCAGTTAAAATGATGCAAGCTGTTGAGTTAAACGAGACTTTACAGAAAAATTTATAAACTTTTAAATCAATTTTATTGATAAATATTTTATGAATAAATATATTTTTTCCTTGAAAATTTGTTTAGTAAACTTCAGTCTTGAACAACTAGTTCTAGGAGACAGCTGAATAATGTCTTTGATTTGTTTGTTTTTTATTAGTAGAAAGCATTTCCTTCAAATGCAACAATTAGGTTATCACTTGTTGTACCTACAAGCTCTGAATCACATCTGACATGACAGGAGGTAATGTGGAGATAATTTGTATGAGGTACATAGGATTTACAGAAATTACTTCTTTGCTTTACAAAAAGCTTGTTCTTTATAAAAGTCAGTGAGAGTTTTGTCAGTAATTTGACCAGAGGAGGAATCAAGATGATTGTCTTTAAAAGTTAATATGCAACTACCTAGAGCTAATAAAAGATAGTGAGCTATGTTCTGACAATGAAGAGCTTAATTTTTAGTGCAATTCACAGATTATGAGAAACAAAGAACAGTTTTCTATCAATCAGCTCACACCAAATTTACGAAAATTTAAAAAAGGGTGGATCAATGGGCCAAATTATGGTCTTATTTGTCTTGACAAATATGCAAAGTAACTCTTCTGAGTTTAAAGAAGTTACTCTGGCGTTTCATCTGTCTAAATGAGATTAAAATCTGATGCACTGAATGCAAAAAAGTAGCTCGGTTCACGATTTTCAAAAACCTTGTTCACAGTGAACATGGCCATAGTTTAAAATGGGCCCTTTAGAGTACTTTGCTTCTTCAATATACAATTTTAAAACCATCTTACAATTGTAGTAACTACATCTAAGCCTTCCCAAGAGGACACACCCTGGAAAATGATTAGGACTTGAGTATTTTAGATCCTCTGCTGTTTTACCAAGCAGCTGCAGAAGGTAGATGTTTTTAAACCACACATGGGAAAACCTTTTTCTTCATTAAATTTTAAAATATCATGCAATAATATTTACAACTATGTATGTTTTATTCTCTATTTCAAGTAAGCGCTGCCACAGTAAAAGAGCAAAAGAAAGAATGCATACCACTGTCTTTTAGTTAAAGTACTCTCTCTGTTACATAACATTGTGTTGTACTGAGAAGTCCCTGGGACTTTGCCACTGACTTGAATAAAGCTGGTATTTCACTCACAGTGCTTATACATCAAAAACACTCCTAACCCTGAGTTAGGCTAATAAAGGATGCAGCGTTGCTTGAAGACCTTGCCTCACTGGCATCTTTAAACCAACCGGGCTACAATAGCGTCACAACCCTGTGCACAGCAGGAGACCTTTTGGACTCCGGTGTCCCTTTCCTGTTTTTTCCTTGTCAGTTGTCGAGAGTTTTAATCACATGCACTGACTGCATCAGTGCACAACTTCAAACTATGAGGTATGTCAAGTTTTAACTGAATAAGTGTGGATGGATTAAGTTTTGCTTGTTACTCTCAGTGGAATACTGTGAAGCCCTTGATTCTCTATAAATTTATTTTGGAGAATGGAACTTAGCAGAAGAAAAGCTGAAGTTTTAATTGGCAGGTTGGCCGAGAAACTCTAATGACAGAAAGTTTTGATGAATTTTCCCAGCCTACAAGCCACGGTTCTCAGGTGCCTGGACTGACTGATGTGAATGGAAAAGCCAGGGAAAGTAAAGAGCTTATAAAACTCTCCAGCACTAAGCCTGAGCAAATACAAACCCAGCTGTCATGCCAGGGATGACACCATGAAGGGCAAACCGCTCTGGACAGAGAGTCTCAGTGAGGTGCTGTGAAAATCTTGTTGTTACATATGGTGAGTCAGAGAGAAACTAAAGCTGATTTCTGGTAAGCACCTAATGCCCCACCAGCATTGCTGAGAGGAGGCTTTGGGCTGCTTGCACATGTACCTACTTTCCATGGCATGGGAAGCAGGCATCACGCAACACCTTCCACTATTAAATTTGTCCCATAACCTGTGAGCTGGGAGCAGGGCCAAAGTGAGGCTGCTTCAGCTTATCTGGGTAGAGAGAGGGAGCCCTTTTACCCAGCAAGTGCTTCCTGCAGCCCCTTCGTGCCCCTTATGCAACACGTTTTGCATCGCATGTGGCTATGTGTATGTATTCTGTAGCTTTATCTTATCCTATTGTTGTCAAAAGTAGTCTCTACAATGAGAGATCCGTTTTATTTATCGTCAGGACCCTGAAGGCCCTGCCCTGCGACCCTGCAGCGGTGCAGGCTTCAGCCCCACCCCGGCCCTGCATGGGGCAGTCTTAAGACTGGAGGTAAGGAGCTTCCTGAGGCTTTTCAAGAACCTATGACACAAGAGACCAGGAAATACTGGATTTGATTGAATATCCTTTTCTCTACGGTCCTTGAAGTTTGTAGGATCAGTTGTTCCCGCATTTGCTTTTGCTTTCCAGTGCCTTGTATCAACAGGGAACACTCTGCCGAACAAGATCCAAGGAATCCCCTGATTTTTTTCCATTGGAATTTCCTAAAGAAAATTTGTAGCTTCCCAGTGAAATGTGTGTCACATACTCTATACTGTTCACAGGAATGTTCTCAGTTGTTATTGTCGAAGAAACTTTCAGAATGTTAGATCCATTTCTTCAGTGATTACTGTCACAAATCAAATTAGCTGTATGCTGTGCTGGCTGAAGGTCTTAACCAAATCACAATTTTCATTGCCTGCTAGCTTTTGATTAAGACTCTAAACCCTTTCATACTGCAATTTTAATCAACTACTTGGAGAAAAGCATTATTTCTAATAAAGATCACCTTAAGAGATTTTAAAATCTTTACTCAATCTCCTAAATATTTGGCACTGCATATCCTTGCAAGCTTGAAATTATTGCTCTGTGTGCTGTGGCTTCTTTTATTATGCTATTATACAAGACTGTTGTACTTTGTCATTTGCAGGACATTACCTCAGACTTATTCAGGTACAAAGATGGACTTCTAGGATGATCAGGGCAATAGAGAACCCATCATATGAGAAGAGAGAATAAAGAGCTTGGCTTGTTTAGCTTAGCAAAATAAAGGCTGTTAAGGGATCTTGTTGCTGTCTATAAATATATCGAGAGGCAAACATCAGGGAGAGGGAAGAGCCATTTAAACTAAATAACAATGCTGGCAAGAGAACCCACAGACACAGACTGGCCAGAATTACATTTATGCTACAAACTAGAAAAAGGTTCTCACTGAGAACAGTGAGATTTGGAAACAATTTTCCAGTTGGAGTAACTGCAGCAAAAATCCTAACTGCGCTTAGAGTGGAACTTGATAAATTTATGTAGGGGATAATATAATGTGATGCCTTCGGTATTAGGAGAATAGATTTAACGACCCATGAGATCCTTTCCAGTCCTGCATTCATGTATAAAGCCATCGTATATCATGCAGGTTCTGTAACCTTCAGCTATGCAAACTTCAGAACAAACTATGCCAGCTCATTTTATATGCTTCTTTTTAAAAAAGCAAATAGCTCGGTTTAGGAAGTGTATTTGTTCAGGGTAGTGGTAAAATTTA